GACCTGGGCAAGTACACCATCTCTGTGAAGAATCCCTTTGGAGAGTGCTCTGACTCAGCTCGAATCCTCATAGAAGGTAATGTAACCCTCTTCCCACATTCCCTGCTAAACATAGAGCCATGCATCTCCTGGGCATTGAAGACATTCTCTAAGAAAGTCTGTCACTTTGGCACCCTTCACTGTCTCCTCCACTGCTTCAAATTGTAGCCCTGCCCATTTTCTATTCAAAGGCCAGGTCTGTCTAATCATAATGCAAAAAGCCAACTCCTCCTAACTCTAGCCCTGACTCTGCCAAGACAGAGCCTGTCTGCCTTCCTTCTTCTCTTCTTTTTTTTTTTTTTTTTACCTCTAATGATGTTGTTTGTCTAGCTCAGGGGTAGGCAACCTTGGCTCTTTTATGACTCGTGGACTTCAACTCCCAGAATTCCTGAGCCAGCCATGCTGAGAGGAAAGGGAGCGGTTTCCAAGCTGAGCCATGCTGACTCAGGAATTGTGGGAGTTGAAGTCCACGAGTCATAAAAGAGCCAAGGTTGCCTACCCCTGGTCTAGCTATTCATGGTCCTATGGAGATGCAGGATAGGCAGTGGGAGAATTTGCTGATGAATTCTCAGAATAGTTCAGTCACCAAGGGAAGAGACTGAGTTTTGAGACTGATATTCGAGTCAGGTCTTGATTTACATGAGCTATCATTCTTAAGTCAGCAGGGAACATTACAAACAAAACAGGTATGTATTTATTTATACAAGCTGATACTTAAGTTACAAAGCATGTAGATCCTGTAATATCCTGCTTTTCCAACTCTGAATTAACTGAAAAAACTGCTGTGTGGGCACACCTTGAGTGCTACATGACTAAATGTTGCCCAGACGCTACAGAAGAAGAGAAGGCAACTAACTCCAGTGTGTCTTCCTCTATGTCAGTGGTTCTCAACCTTTTTAATGCCGCGACCCCCAACTGGTCATAAGTCGAGGACTACTCAACTGGTGCAGCACCGTTTGCAGAATGGGACTTTTGGCAGGCTCAGCAGGTCAGAGACAGCCTGGACAATTCCTATTAGCTTTTGAAAGCCAATAGAATTAGACTCTATTCAAGAGAGTCTATTCTATTGGCTTTCAAAAGCCAATAGAATAAAAGGGAGTAGCACAGCTAAGGAAAAGGGGGAAAAAATGGCGGACTGCGTTGTTTGGCAACCCCCGTGAAATGGTCGTTTGACCCCAAATGGGGTCCCGACCCACAGGTTGAGAACCACTGCTCTATGTTATTGCACTGAACCTGAAGTCTTGAAAGCTCCTTGGTGGATATACCAACAATTCAATGGGAATTTTTATTACTTAGTAAAAGAATACGACCAAGCAAAATGGAGTGATAATCTCAAGAAGGTATCCTAAATTCTAGGGTGTTCTAACTACAGTATAAGTCCCAAGAATAGTTTCTGCATAATCATGCATCTGTCTGTTGCAATGGTTGGATGAACAGAGAGAGCAATGGAGAGAGGAAATGGAGTTAGGCAAAGGGACTGCACAATCCATCTTTTTAAGCAGCCAAATAACTCAGAATAGCTGCAGACTAATTCAAGTTTGCCCCAAGGTAACCCAGGTCTCCCCTAAAACATTGTAGAAAAAATGAAAATGGGATTTACTACTGTAATTTACTTCCCTCCATTGTGTCAGAATAACAGAATAACAGAGTTGGAAGGGACCTTGGAGGTCTTCTAGTCTAACCCCCTGCTCAAGCAGGAGACCTTATACTATTCCAACAAATGGCTGTCCAGTCTCTTTTTAAAAACCTCCAGTGATGAAGCACCCACAACTTCTGGAGGCAAGTCCTTCCACTGATCAATTGTTCTCACTGTTAGGAAGTGTCCTTCAGGAACACTTAGCAGAAAAAACAGCAACCCCAGAACAGGATTCCTGTCCTGCCTTATCTTTGGGAAAGGCTAGCCATGCTCTAAAGAGGAACTCTTTTGCCCCCAGGAAAAGTTTAGCAGAGTCACTTTTCACAATCCCAATAATCTCAGAATTTCTTTCGGATGGGTCTTAATATGAACTGGCAATAGTTTCTTCCAGTAATGTCATAGAGACGTTTAAAAATATTGCATTTTGTTAATTATCAGCCAACATCTTATTTCTCCCTTTTACCTTTTAACAATTTATCAGAAAAGACTAGCAATAGAAGCACCATTCGACAAATGTACTTTATAGCAGTTCCACTCTCTTATGTTTTAAATAAGAGTGATAGAAGAATTCATAAAAGGAGTTGTATTGAATACTTGGATTATTTCACACTTTTAGAATGCAAGTTAAATTGTTTTTAAAAGAAGACTATACAGGCAATAAATGGATAATCACCTTTTTCTGTGCCCATAGCCACTATCGTGTTCAGGGGAGACAGAGAAAATAGTTAAATTAGCTCGAAGTATGCAGAAATCTTTTCTGATTGATGCACTGAGAAGTGGCTATGGTGGCTCTCTTTGCAATATAATCCCTAACAACATCTGTCGATGGTAAGTTGCAATTACTCAGCAGTTAACAACCATTACAAGAAAAGCAATGCCAACATGTGGAAGAAGACTCACATCTCACAGCATTAGAGTGCTGGGTCCCAGGATAGGTTTTTCCCAGGTAGATGTCTGGTGAAAGGGTCCAGCTCTGATCCTACCTTTTTTTCTCTTTCAGTACCTGCCAAGATAGAAAAAGGCCCGGAGAGTATAAAAGCCAAGAAAGGCAGCACAGTCAATTTGACAGCTCACATCAGTGGGGAGCCAGCCCCTGATGTTGGCTGGGCCAAGGATGGGGAGGATATTGAAGAGGATGATCGGTGAGTGAAGCCCAGCCCTGGGTACCACATGGGTAGCCTCAGATCAGAGGCAATCGAGTTAGAATGGAGATATAATAAGAATTTCTGATCTTCTTTCCTTCATCACACAAGCCCTTACTGGTAACGTTTAGGCACGGAGAAAAAGCATAGATGATGCCATAGCTTAAAAGTTTATAGTACAGTGTATAATGTGAACTTCCAATAGTATAATCATTATTCCTCCTCCTTCTCCAGTTCTTTCTCTAGTGATTGTCAGGTTAAAAAGAGCTTGTTACCCTTTGTTGAGGATCCTTTGCATTGACAGGCCATGAAGGAGAAGGCAACCTAGTCCAGATAACTGCTGATTCCCTAGTAGCGAGCACTCTTATATGCTGCTGATTAAGTCAGGAAGAAACTTCTTTCTATTGTAGGTCTTAAAATGGGTCCCTGAGTTCTGATTCCCTTTCCTTCCTCTGCAGAGTGTACTATAACATTGGCAGTGACTCAACAACTCTCACCATCAAGAAAGTGACACCAGATGATGCTGGGAAGTATGAGATCTTTGTGGAGAACAGCCTGGGCATGGATCAGTCCTTTGCGCGCCTTGACGTGAACTGAGCTCCCATCACCTCAGTCTGATTCACGCCCCCCCCCAAAGAAACTCTCCTTTCACAGCTGGGGGAATGCAATTAAAAACAAACAAACTGGAGCAATAGGGATATTTTGTTCCCCTGCAATACCCCAGAGCCCAGCTACACCTCTCACTGCTGCTTTGGGTCTCTCACTCAGACAGGACAGTTTCAATAAGGATACAACTTTTCCCCGACTTGCTGGCAAGATTACAACACCCCCCCCTCACACACACTTTGGTCCAGGGCTCAATCCATTTCTTGGGCAGGCAGGATGATCAGCTTATCAATAGCTTTGCCATCAGTATGTCATAAGCAATGTTCATTGAAAAGTCATCTAGGTGGGGGCATGAAAGGGGCAGCGCAGAGACTACACACCAGTGGTCTTTCCCCAGAGCTGCCAAGATAGTAAGCCATCCCAGAAGCCTCCAGATTCTTCTGGGCCCATTTTCTTGCTTGACAAATTAAATAAAACCAAATGACTCTATACTGTCTTGAGAGTTTTGATGATGACGATTCATTGCAGTCAGTCAGATGTTACTGGATTTGGCATATTTGTCCATCTACCGAGTCATTATTATCATTAAACTTTTCCTCATAACTTTTACCTCAGTCCCAGTCCACACCTCTGGCAACTTAAAAGTCATCCTTAGCTGTTCCAGAGCTGTAGCGTTTTTCCTTTTTTCCTGACACAACTTTTGCCATGGATAAGAACTGGTATGCTTCCTTGGCTTTGTGGTTGGATCTGCTCTGCTGCTAATAACCTAATAGCTGGGACTGGTTTTCCATGTTGCACTGAGCTATGAAATGATTTGACTTGGCTTTATGTAATGTGTCAACCCAGTGTGGCTTGAAAACCAAGGTTTTGTGACTTAGTGTATTGTAGGAATCAACTAGGATTAATAGTTTGCATAAATGCTTCACGGTTGCCCATGATATTAGCTGAGATTTTAACCTACATTTTGGATAAGCAACCTAAGCAGATTCATCAGAACATTTTACAGTTCTTCCGAGTCCATGTTCTGTGACTTTCCCAACCTGTGCACTTAGTATATGTTTGCTGGGGGTGATGGGAGTTGCAGCCCTAGAATATCTAGGGCAAAGGGCTGTGGGTTACAGCAGGCTCCTGAAGACCAAAAGCATTTGGGACTTCTCAGTGAAGAAGGCACCTTCTGGAGGCTAAGAGGCTAGCCCTCTTTCTCTTGGCAATGTTGCCTCCTGCCGTTGCTCAGAAACACTGCAGGATCCCTTTTCCAGTCAGCTGCTCTGGAGATATAAATAATTCTTCCTGACCATATTGGGCATTGTTTCAGTCTCCAACTTTTCCTCGTCATCTTGTCTACATGACAGGACTGAAATGAGGGGAAGTTGAGAAGATGAACTCTATTCCTTCCAAATCGTGCTATGAGCGCTCCTTGACAAAGCTTGGGTTCAAATAGTGCACATTTATTTTATTTCTTTATTAAACACATTGGTATAAAATGTATAGAATACAAACTCATTAAAAACAACCCATCCCACCCACCCCCATGGCAGCAACACAATCAAATCAACTATTTGATCGGCTCCATCTCCATCAGTGGGTTTTGGGCCAGCTGACAAAACTATCTTTTTAGGGCTTTTTGGAAAAATAGGGTGGGGGCCCTTTGGCAGGGGGGGAATGATGTTCCATAATGAAGGGGCCACCACCAAGAAGGCTCTTTTTCATGACAATCCCTATTTTATGAGACCCGTGATATGCCCTGCCTTCTTACCATGGTGGACCAGGTAGATTCAATAAGGAGGAGGCGGTCCTTCAAATAACCTGGCCCCCAGCCATGTAGAGTTTTAAAAGTGATAACCAGGATTTTGACTTGCATCCAGAAGCAGATTTCCTGACAGATAGTTTCTTAATGCTGTTAATTCAAAGACACCGCAAAGCTACTCCTGCTTTCCCTACTTAAAAGATTTCCTGTAGACGGCACAGAACCAAGAACATACAGTTAACAGTGGTGAACCCTTCCCACGCCTCAGAAAATCCTGATTTTGCAAAGTGATAACTGCATAATAAAAGCCTCGTCTGAAAACACTTAGCAACTTCTCTCATACTCATAAAGCTTTACAGGACTCTTAGCGGAGTGGGATTTAACGTTCACGACACACTTTAGATTGTGTTACTAGCCAATGGATGATCTATTACAAATAAGCCTGCCAAGTCTTGGAGATCAATCAGCTGGGAAAAGACTAAAGGTAGGTTTTAAAGAAGGCTCTAGCCTCAGCAACTTGAATTTATTTCTGACATTTCAGGATAGGCAAAATAGCACATTTGTTCCTTGTCCTCTTGCAAGCTTTTTTTCATGGTTCTTGACATCACGTGATCTGTCTTGCATGACACCCTAGATGCCTTGTAATATCCATTCAAAGCTAGTCTTCTCTGGACGCAAAAACTTACAAACAGTTCATGAAATACTGTAGTAGGAAGCCCACTGAAACCCAAATATTTCACCATCATTCCAAGTGGAATGGGGGAAATTGGGGATGAAGCGAGGTAGCCCAAGAACATTGAGGACTGAAAATGTCCTTGGAATGCTGATGGACAAATTATTGGGATGTGTGTGTGTGTGTGTGAGTGAAAGAGTTTGGCAAAAACATCCTAGAAAAAGGACACAGCAGACTCCCATCTAGAACTGCTGCAGGCCTCTTCTGTTTCCCCCAATCTCACACGTGGCAGTTAGCTGTCTTCAGTGCTAAACATGGGAAGGAAAAGCCATTTGCACATGCTTGGAAACTATTCTGTCTTTCTGACTTTGTTAAGGCTGAGAAGTCAATCCAGGGAAAAGCAATTCTTCATTGTGCTCCCCAGTTCAGCAACAGGAATCAGCACCACTCGGAATCTGGCTTTCGGACAGTCATTCACTTTCAGCCCAACTCACCTCATAGGGTTGTTATTGCTTGTTGTACGGAAAATAGGAAGGAAGAAGGAATTAGATAAGTTCATGGCTCTGAGTTATTTATAGAAATAATAAAGGTAGCATATAAAATAAATAAATCCGACACTTTCATCTTTGATCCAGGTCAACCTGATCAGTCCTCTTGAGCGGGAATCTACAGCAGGTGGCATCATCTACCTCAGAGGTAGGCAACCTTGGCTCTTTTATGACTTGTGGACTTCAGCTCCCAGAATTCCTGAGCCAGCCAAGGTTGCCTACCCCTGATCTACCTTATCTTGGCTGGGTCCAAAACATTTTAAGTAGGGTTAAGTAGGGTTATTCCTGATAGCCCCAAATCGACAGGCTAGATGAGAAGTCAGAAACAGGCAAAACCTTCTTAGTCCCGGTTTATTGTTTCTTGAGTCTCCAGGAGTCGAAGCCAGGGAATAAAAACCGAAAAGGGCTAGTGAGAACGAAGCCAGTGCCCGCACTGCATTATGGGCCTTCTGGAGTCGTGGCAGGTGCTTCGGGGTGAGTCGCACCGCGGCCCCGGTACTTCGCGGGGACGTGAATGCAAAGGCGGAATGCGGCAGCGAGCGGGAAAAGATGCGGACGCTTTGCGCTTTCCTGGCATTTCGGCTGGAGAATCCCGATTCTCCCGCTCCGCGCCTCTTCTCCTGCGACTTTAAGGGTGCGACTCCGCCCGGAGTCTGAGCTTAGCCTTAGTTCCATGAGGAGGTGGAACCGGTGACGTGGCATTCTCACGTGCTCGGAAGCAGAAGGCCGTGTTCCAGCGGGGAGATCTCGCCTCGGGGTCTTGTCCTAGGGATAGTGCCGAGGAGCCTATCTGACACCGTGTTCTCCACCGCCCAGACCCAAGAGGGCCATGCTGAAAGCCGTGATCCTAATCGGGGGTCCCCAGAAAGGTGAGCTGATACCCCTTGACATCGTCCGGAAGCTGATGCCCATTTGGGCTGGAGGCGGTAGAGCAGCCCCTTTGCAGAAATAAAAGCGAGCCCACAATTTGCTGAAATCTCTTCCCCAGCCCCCCCAAAAAGCGAGCCTACGATGTGCGGGTTTCACGTGTTTCTTTAGCCAATAGCTTTTACGTGTAAGAGTATACTTAACCCTTAGCTGACTTCTGCCCTCCCAATCCTTAATCAGTGGAACAACCTGCCTCCAGCAGCTATGAATGCTCCAACACTGGAAGGTTTTAAGAAGAGACTGGACAGCCATTTGTCTGAAATGGTATTGCGTGTCCTGCCTGAGCAGGGGGTTGGACCAACTTTATTATTATTACTATTAACCCCTGATTTTCCTCCTGTCCAGCATAGCCGGGCCTCTTCTTCGGAAGGACCTCCCTTTAGATCAGTGGTTCTCAACCTTTCTAATGCCGTGACCCCATAATACAGTTCCCCATGTTGTGGTGACCCCCAAATGGGTGTGGCCACCAATAAAAGGGAGTAGGACAGCTGGGGAAAAGGGAAAAAAATGGCGGACAGTGTGGTTTGGCGACCCCCGTGAAATGGTCATTCGACCCCAAATGGGGTCCCGACCCACAGGTTGAGAACCACTGCTTTAGATGGCTGTAATGTCTCCCCTGAACCTTCTCTGTTCCAGGCTAAACATTCCCAGCGTCTTTAACCCTTCTTCACAGTCGTACTGGATAGGCTCCCCTTGGTTAATGGGCTCCCTAAAATGCTGGGCAATCTGTGGAGTGCAGAACTGATTTCCACAATCCTGGCCATGCTTCTTTTGAGGACTGCCTAAAATAGTGTTTCTCAACCTTGACAATTTTAAGCAATGCTGGCTGTGGAATTCTGGGAGTTGAAGTCCACATGCCTTAAAATTGTCAAGGTTGAGAAATACTGCCCTAAAAGATGCATATATATTTTTTTAGCAATGATGCCTTTCCCTCTTATAACACTTTGTAATCCCTTTTGTGTTTTACTGTCTATTCTCTGCTTCTGGCAGAAGATTGCCAGACCAAAAGAAGGGCAAATTCTGGGCAGAGTTGGCTCCTGATTCTAGCGTTGTCTTGCTTTTTCAGGGACCCGCTTCCGGCCCTTGTCCTTTGAAGTGCCCAAACCCTTGTTTCCAGTGGCAGGGGTACCCATGATACAGCATCACATTGAGGCATGCACTAAGGTAAGGGGGGTTTATTCAGATTAAACTTGGAAGGGCAGGGCAGCACCTGTCAGTTTGTTGCCTTACCTTAAACAAAACATAGTCCGGCAATGAAGCAAGCAGGAAAGTGAAGTCAGCTATGCCTGATGCTTTTCCTGCCATTTCTAACAGGTACCCAACATGAAGGAGATTCTTCTGATTGGCTTCTATCAACCTAATGAGGCACTCAACCACTTCCTGGTGTCTGCCCAGCAAGAGTTCAAAATCCCAATCAGGTGGGTGGCCAGTGGTTATTTTTTTTTTTATTGTAAATATTTATTAAGTTTTTAAAATTTTACAAAAACAAAACAACCCATCCCCAAACCTCCCCGACCCTCCCATTCCCTCTCCCGACCTTCCCAGAGCTGAACATAGGCTTAATTAAGATTTCTTCAAATAATCTAAATATATATATATATATATATATATATATATATATATATATATAAACCATGAGTAAATCTAAATACTGAATACATTAATTAAACAAACTATAAGATAATTAACGATAATATATGTATATAAAAAAAACATAAATACCAGAAAAATAATACTTAAAAAATAAAATAAAATAAAATAAAAAAGACTAAAGAAAAAGAAAAAAGAGAAAGATAAAAGAAAATATATATATAAAAAGAAAAAGAATAAAATCTATAAAATATTTTAAATTTTAAATATAAGTTATTGAAAAACTAAATAGTATTTTTTAATATCCAACTTATATTGTATAAAATCTATCCATTTTTTCCATACCGCAAAATACTTCTCCTGCGATTGATCCTTCAAGAAAGCCGAAATCTTTGCCATTTCCGCCAGATAAGAAACTTTAAAAAACCACTCTTGCAAAGTAGGCAAAGATTCCTTCTTCCAACATTGCCCTACTAACAGCCTTGCGGCTGTAATTAAATTTAACATCAATATAATCTCTTTAGTATCACAATCAGTAACAATACCTAACAAAAATAATTGTGGTGTAAATTTTACCCTCCTTCTAAAAATTCTTTGAATATTCCACCATATCTTAATCCAAAAAGCTTTTATATTTTTACACGACCACCAGATATGATAGTAGGGAGCATCCAAACATCCACATCTCCAACATTTAGGCTGTAAGTCAGGATACATACGAGACATTTTTTGTGGATCAAGGTGCCATCTATAAAACATTTTATAAAAATTCTCCCTTAAATTCTGGGCTTGTGTAAATTTAACATTTCTCACCCAAATAGTTTCCCAAGTATCTAATAAAACTGGTTCACCAAAATTTTGTGCCCATTTAATCATACAATCTTTAATTAATTCTGCCTCTGAATCCAATTCTACTAGCATCCCATAAATTCTCTTGATATGAGTTCGTCTTTGGTCTTTTACTTGTTTAAGAAAATTTTCATCTTCTCTAAGTAAACCCACATTACAGTCCAACTTCCATCTATCCACTATTTGTCTATATCAGTGATTCTCAACCTTTCTAATGCCGTGACCCCATAATACAGTTCTCCATGTTGTGGTGACCCCCAAGTGGGTGTGGCCACCAATAAGAGGGAGTAGGACAGCTAGGGAAAAGGGAAAAAAATGGCGGACAGCATGGTTTGGCGACCCCCGTGAAATGGTCATTCGACCCCAAATGGGGTCCCGACCCACAGGTTGAGAACCACTGGTCTATACTGAAACCATGAATATTTAATATTTTCTTGTGTTAGATTTTCCAAAGATTTTAACTGCCAATTTTTACCATCCCATCTAAGTAGTTGTGAATAAGAAACACCATCCATCTTAACTCCTCTCCTTATCCCCTCTATCGCATGCCCAGGTATAACCCATAATGGAATTTTAAAATCACTTCTATAATATTTCCTCCAAACCTGAAATAAAGAAATCCTTATAATATGAGATTTAAAAACCCTATCAACTTTTTTATTAAAAATTAAATAGGCATGCCATCCAAAAAGTAAATCCCAGCCCTCCAGGAGGAGTATTTCTACATTTGTTAGATTAACCCAATCACTAATTAATGTTAAAACCACTGCATCATAGTACAGTTTCAAATTCGGTACCTTGAGTCCACCTCTCTCACGAATGTCTTGTATTATTTTAAGGTGGCCAGTGGTTATTGAAAAGAAAAATGTAAAAGCAGATCCAGTGCTATCCGTCACTCAGATACTGGCCTTTTAAAAAAATGCCCTGTTGCATTGGCCAATACATTGTTATCATATTTGCAAACATCTGAGCTGTAATTCAATCTGTCTTGTCTTAGGTCCTTCCAGATATGCTAGGCCCGATCACTCTCAGGAGCTGAATTCTGTTTTACCAGTTGATTCCAAGTTTTTCATTCCTTTGGATGTATCCATATGTAATTTTCCCTAACTGTGCCTCATGTTGGATGAAATAGATGTAGTATTTGAACGATTATCCTGAAATAAAAAGTAGTCAGTCTATAAGCTTCCATTATTAGTCAGCCTATAAGCTTCCACTATTTGGAAGTAGGAGGCTCCAATGGCCGTCTAATTTCTAATTTCTGTAGGTATCTCCAGGAATATGCAGCGCTTGGCACAGGTGGGGGTATCTACCACTTCCGTGACCAGATCCTTTCAGGTAACCCTGCAGCCTTCTTTGTGCTCAATGCTGATGTCTGCTCTGAATTCCCTCTCGAAGAGATGCTTGCCTTCCATCGTCAGCGTGGCAGTTCTGACAGCTTCCTCATGCTGGGCACCACGGTAGGAGACAGCCCTGCCTTCCCAAACTGGGTCAGTCATGAGGGAGTGGTTGGGAGACAGAGGCTCAGTTAACTGGGGAGTCCCAGGGCACCAGGCACGAGAGCCTGGGCCCTTCTTAAGATCTTCTTTTGAAACCTTCCAGAAGTTTCAAGTGTGTCTGTCCCCTCAGTGCATCCATGCCAATCTTCTTTTCTGCAGGCCAATAGGAAGCAGTCTCTGAACTATGGCTGTATTGTGGCAAATGCTGACACACACGAGGTATGAAGGTAGGAAGCCAGGCAGAAGGGGGGGGAGGTCTGAGAAGGAGGACCCACTAGTGAGCCGAAAAGAGAAGGCCTGCCTTCTGCTTGCCAGATCCCAGGTTTCCTCTCAGGAATCTTTTTCAGCACCGTGCACAGCATTGACAAGGCTCTTGTCACTTCCACCTACGTCCCCTTTTGCAGGTCTTGCACTATGTGGAGAAGCCCAGCACTTTTGTGAGCGAGCTCATCAACTGTGGCATCTACCTATTTACCCCAGCCATCTTCCATCACATTGGGGAAGTCTTCCAACGTAACCAGCAGGAGCTGCTCTTGTGAGTGTCCTTTCCAGCGTTATGTTTGGGTCCTTCCTGCTCTGCATAACGGCAGGTCACTCATCTACCATCTCTCTCTCTCTCTTTCTGTTCATCTCCTCCTCCTGCCAACCTTTGCCCTCATGCAGGTATTCATACCTTGGGTAAGTGTCCATCTCTCCCTTCATCCTGCATGTGCATTTTTCAAGAGTCATTGATGTTCTTTTCGGTTCCATAGAACTTAGACACTAGATAGAAATCTAGGGTTTTTTTTATCAGTTTCCCAGTTGCTGGAGGAAGTTGTGCTGCTCCCAGATTCATTCTTCCTATGGCTTGAGACCTTCGTTTTCTGGTTGGATATGTACTCTCTACCTCTTTTTCTAGGAAGCAACATGCTGCCCCTCAGCTTGTCTTTGTCTCATTCCCACAGAGAGGAGAGCACAAACGGTTGGCAGAGGGCTGAAGCCATCCGACTGGAGCAAGACATCTTTACAGGCCTTGCTGGGCAGGGACGCCTCTTTGCCTACAGAACAGAAGGGTTCTGGAGCCAGATCAAATCTGCTGGGTGAGGAAGAGGGAGGGGCTTTATTTGACACCCAAGGTGGTAGCAGTTGCCAGACTCGTACATGGTCGTCCTCAACTTATAACCATTCATTTAGCAACCATTTGAAGTTTGCAATGGTACTGAAAACAGTGGCTTAAACCAGTCCCTGCATTTATAACCGACACAGTATCCCCACCCTTACGTGGTCATAATTCAGGTGCTTGGCAACGGGCATGTATTTACAATGGCTGCAGTGTTCTGGGGTCACGTGTTTGTCATTTGTAACCTTCCCAACTGGCTTCCAATAAGCAAAGTTAATGGAGGAAGCTGGATTTGCTTAACAACTGCACGATTCAGTTAACCTTTGCAGTGATTTGCTTAACAACTATGGCAAAAAAAAAAAAGTTGTAAAAATTGGGTGTGACTTACTTAACGACCACCTTGCCCAGCAATAGAAATTCTGGTCCTAATTGTAGTTATCAGTTAAGGATTCCCTGTATTCAGTGGCCCATTTAGTGGACAGGCAGTGGTTGCAAATTGGAGCTGAGTGTATCTGTGAACACAGGTTGACTCAGCTGTCTTGTATGACTTTGGGTTGTATAAAACTTGACTATTTCTTCCTTGAGCAAACATGCAGATAATGCAAATGAGGGAGAGACTTCAGAATGCACTATGAAAAATATGTGTCGCAGTGGTAAGAGAAACCATTCACTTTGTTTGAAGTAACAAGTCAGAGCAAATGAGAGACTATGAGCCTGGCTGCTCATTTTGTTTCATGGACTGTAGAGCCCCTGTAAATCTCTGTCTTGCTTCTTCTTGTCTAAATCGTCTGTAGAAAAGGAAGAGTATCCAAATTAATTAAGATGTGCATCACTTTAAGTCAGTGTTTCTCAACCTTGACCATTTTAAGGCATGTGGACTTCAACTCCCAGAATTCCACAGCCAGCATTGCTGGCTGTGGAATTCTGGGAGTTGAAGTCCACATGCCTTAAAATGGTCAAGGTTGAGAAACACTGCTTTAAGTGAAGCCTTGGTTTTGTAGGTTAGCATCCATCAGGTTTAGATCTGTGGCTTGTCAGAGAAATGGCAGGACCCCAGCAAAAAAGAAAGAAAATCTGAATTTTTGAATGTAAATATGGATACCGTGCCAGGTAGATGTCATTTTCTTATAATTGAGTGTGTGTGTGTGTGTTTACGTGTTCCTGATGAGAGTCATTTGATTTCTTGTTTTGTCTACATGAGGCTGGCAATACAGGTAAAGTGTGATGTTTGAGAATTGGGGGCCAAACATAATAGCTCCCATGTTCTTTTTGCCAGCTCTGCCATCTATGCCAATCGTCTTTATCTGAGCTGCTACAGCCAGTGTCATCCGGAGAGACTTGCCCAGAACCAACCCGGTGGGCCCAGCATCCGAGGTATCTCCTCCTTCCACATTACATTGTGAGGCAAAAACAGCAATACATTCTGTTGACAGGAACAAGGCACACACTTTTGGTGGTCCCTATGGGTAAAACTGTCATCTCATCCAGCTCCATCAGTCCTGTAGATGTCTTGCTGGAGAGACCTTAATAGCAGATCAGTTTCTTAAGCTATCCTATCTGTCCTAGGACTCCAAATGTCTGGCATATTTTCTTCAGTTCCTGGGGGAATCAGAGGGGATTTCATTTATTAATACTACATTGTTGTTGTTAGGATTGTTTTGGACGAAATGTTTTTGAAAGTGTTTTTTTTTTTTACCTAAGTTGGGGACTTGTCTTGCTTTCCCCATATAATTGGTTCCAAAATCTCAAGTATTCTGGCAAGAACCTTCCTTGCTTTGCCACAAGTTTCAGTTGTGAGGTAATTTTAGCAGCTGAGCCCTGTGTGGGGAAAGGCATTCAGAAGTGATGTTGAGAGGTGTGTGTCCAGGGATCACGAAATAACTCAGTGCTAGAGCTGGAAAGTCCACATTGTAAAGCAGGTGACCTCCTCTAGCAAAGCCTTCAGAAGAATGGAAATGTCTCACAGAGGAGAGAGGAGAGCAGAAATAATTGCTGCTGCTTTTCCATACAGAGAATGTCTATATTCATCCAACGGCCTCGGTGGATGCCAGTGCTGTGGTAAGTCTGTGGGTTGGGTGATACCTGCTGCTTCCCACAAAAGAATGAGGACCCAGGGTCACAGTGTCTTGGTGGGCATGAGCAGGGCCAGAGCCAGGGCTATAGGGTAGGCCTGCCATTTCCCCCCTCCCTCCCTTCCTCCCCTGTGCACAAATAGGTTATTTACACCTGTGTATGCTTGCATGCTATAAACAAATTAGTTCTTTCCCCTCAAGCTTAATTGCAGTATTAAGGGAAGGATGCTTTGAGGGGATTGGGGCGGGAAGGTGTGTGTGTAATAGGCTGCGAGAATAACCTTGGCAGACAGGAGGAAAAGGAGTGTAGGCAAACTCAGACCAAAGCTATCTCAGCTCACAGAAGGAACAGAGGCAGGGAAAGAGCCTCAGAAGGGAGCTTCCTCTGGAAAGTAAAGGGAGGGAAAGGAAGAAGTGCTTTCAGACTGGCCAGATCCACAATAAAGGTATTAGTACTCCTGGTTTTGGTTTCTTGTCTGGATTACCTCAGAGTGCTGACAGGAAGTGATGACTGGTCTTTCCTTTCCCCTCCCTTTTCCCCTCCCAAGAATAGGATTTTAAAAAGCACTGGTAGAGGGTTTAAAGGTGGGGGGAGGGCTAAGCCTCAGCTGACACTTAGAGACTTCTTAAAAAGAATCCCCCTCACCACCCTCACTTTAGCAGGTGTGGGGCAGGGCTGGGTTTTAGAGTCTGTTCCATCCAGTCCTTGTCTTTGCCCCTGAGGACAGAAGAAGTCTGGGGGCTAAGGAGGGACTCTTGCCTGCCAGGTCAGTGACCACCGGCATCTCTCCCTTGGCTTTTTCCTGTAGCTGGGCCCCAAGGTCTCAATTGGGAAAGGAGTGACCATTGGTGCAGGAGTGCGAGTACGTGAATCCATCATTCTGCATGGAGCATCTCTCCAGGTAGGTATTGTCTGAAAATCCTATGGGCCATAACCTAGCACAGCTATGCTGACTCAGGAATTCTGGGAGTTGAAGTCCATGAGTCATAAAAGAGCCGAGGTTGTCTACCCCTGACCTAGCATGTGCATGACTTGCATTTTTAGGATTGATATTTATGCAGTCATTTTATATCCTTGTTGCTGGGCATCCCATAAACTTCCTGCAAGTCAAATAACGGCATGTCATCTATGGAAAATTAAATCCTTATCCCTTATTTATTTATTTATTTAGCATACGGCAACCCTCCTCAGTCTAATTCTTACTTAACCTATAGCCGTGTCTTCACTAATTATAGAAGCGTTGCCCCATTGATGCTTTAAAAAAAATATATTAGTGTGTTTTATTAGTGAGCGTTCTTCTGGGGTTCTTTAGATACTGGATTACTTACGAAACAATAAAAAAGAAAAGCATGTCTATTATTAAACAAAGCTCCTGTCTTCTCTGAGACAGTGCAATTTCATTTCCCCACTTTCATTTCCTCTCCATGCGTCCCGTTTAAGAAATGGGGGGAAAGATAATCCATCATCTCCCACTTTATATGTTAGATCAGGGGTAGGCAACTCAAAACACTCAAAGAGCCACTTGGACCCATTTCCCACCGAAAACAAAACACTAGGAGCCGCAAAACCCTTTTGATATCTAAAATGAAGATAACACTGCATATATTCTTTTTTACCTTTATTATAGGTGTGTGTGTGTGTGTGTATGTATATGTGTATACACACACACACACACACACACACACACACACACACACACAGGTAAAAAAGGATATATGCAGTGTTACTTCATTTTAGATGTCAAAAGGGTCTCTCTGTCTCTGTCTCTCTCTCCCTTCCTCTCTCTCTATCTGCCCTTGGTCTGCCAGTCCTCTTCCCCCACTCTTTTTCTTTCTCTCTCTTTCCTCTTTCTCTTTCTCTCTCCCCCTGTCTCCCTCTCTCCTATCTGCTGCTCACCTGGCAAGCTGGCTTCAAGCTGTTCTCCAACAAGCTCAGGGGTAGGCAATCTCGGCTCTTTTATGACTCATGGACTTCAACTCTCAGAATTCCTGAGTCAGCATAGCTGGGCTAGCTAGCTCTCTCCTGCCCTTCCTGCTTCCTGCAGAGATGCAGCAAAGGAAGGAGCTCTGCCCAATAAGCTTTTCAGCTCCTCGGAGAACACTGTGAGTGCACTCTCTTTTACACACACACACAAACAAACACAAACACAGAGAGAGAGAGACAGAGAGAGAGACAGAGAGAAGCAGGGAAGCGCAATTGCTTCTCTCTGTCTCTGTCTCTCTCTGCAAATGGCAGAGGAGGCTGGGAGCCACTGGGGAAGGCTCAAAGAGCCGCATGTGGCTCCGGAGCCGCAGGTTGCCGACCTGTATGTTAGATGTTGAGTGAAATGGTGTTGCGAGTGCTGGAACATTTTACTTTGAGATGCTGCCTGTGCAGATGCTCCCACCTGGAAGCACTGAGGGTGGCTCAACAAAAATGCCTCCTGAGCATAGTTGTCCCGTCCCTCTCTCAGTTCTGGTTTTAGTTTAGTTTTTGTCATCTTAAATCTGTGTAGTTTTAATATTTTAATTATTATTTTTTGTTTTGTAAGCTGCCCAGAGCCACCTTATAGAGGAGATTGGAGGCATAAAAAATTAATACATTTAATAAATAAGAGGCTTTGCACCAGACTCTTGATCACAGCTTTGCTCAGAGTACTACTACAAGCCTGATCATCCTCCTTTAACATCCATTCATTCAGCAACAACAGCTGAATTGGATGAGGGACACTTATGACCTGTCCTACAGTAGTTGCTGTTATCACCGCATTCCTATAGTTAAATATGATTGCGATCAGGTACTGTTAGCTGCCTCGCAGTTACAGTGTCACATCATCCCACAATCACATATTTGCCATTTGGGTCCTTCACTGCTGGCGTCTGACAAACAAAGTCAATGGGGAAGCTGGCAGGAAGTCACAGAAGGTGATCACATGACTGTGGGATGCTGCAGCTGCACAGGATTTGCCTAATAATGCCTCTTGGGACTGCCAGAACTGCTTTCATAGGCTGGCATGGTCACGTGACCCTGCATCTCATGATCACATCACTTAGTAATGGAGTTCTTGGTCCTAGTTAGTGTCAGTAAGCAAGGACAATTTGTAATGGATGCAACTGTTGTCATTCCTAACCATAAGCAATGTTGCCTGGAATTGATGAAATCCACTATAATTGGACAGGTCTATACATAGAATCAATATAATATAGCATTGAAAATATGGCCTGGAATCATGGAGACCTTAGTTCAAATCTCGTTCAGCCATAAAACCTGCTGGGTGCCTTTTGGCCAGTTCCTATTTCTTGGTCCAACCTACGAGTTGTTAACACATAATGAGAGGAATCTTATTCAAAAGAACAAATGAAGAGAGAATCACAACCTACGGTACTCTGAAAACTCAGAGAAAAGATAGGATATTAATGAAGTAACACAATGATAATCTTGCCTTGTATCACATGGGAATGTTACATTGGGATTAATGCTATATCTAACAGGTTTTCATAACAAGTCATCTAGAGCAGTGTTTCTCAACCTTGACAATTTTAAGGCATGTGGACTTCAACTCCCAGAATTCCACAGCCAGCATTGCTGGCTGTGGAATTCTAGGAGTTGAAGTCCACATGCCTTAAAATTGTCAAGGTTGAGAAACACTGATCTAGAGGGTTATATGACAATTTGCTGAGGCCAACTCACCACAGCCAATTTGCCACAGGCAACTCACTACAGCCAGGACAACTCACTGCAGGACAAGAGTTACAATGATATAAATTGTCCTGCAATGAGTTGTCCCGCAGTGAGTTGTCTGTGGCAAGTTGTCCTATTCCACTGTGGATTTGCACAGATTATTTGCTTTTCATATTTTTCTACTGCCCAGCAGGTGGTGCTACTGTGCTGTAAATGTTTATAAGAGTACTGTACTGAATGAACAAAGACATTTGTTGGTTCTCTTCAAAGCTAACAGATTATCATCATCATCATCATCATCGATCATTGCACAGTCAGCCAGATGTTCAACTGGATTTGGCATTTTTGTCTATCTATCGAGTCCTTACCAAGGACTTGGGATAGGCAGACGTAGATATTTGAATTGATAGCATTACAGATATCGTCGCAGGATGGAAGCAGTTCCTAATAAGGCCACCTTTTGCAATAGATTGATGGTGAATTTGTCAATGCCAATGGTGTCCAAGTGGTGCTCCAGTTGTTTTGGGATTGTATCCAAGAAGCCTATTACTATTGGTACTTATTATTTTGCTGCCTATCTCCTGTGGGGCTATGTACTTGTGGCCCAGGTTCTGTGGCCTACAATTCTCTGGATCAGATGTAGGGTCTTAGGAAATGAACTGAAGCCCTTAAAATGTCTGCTACTGCACTTTCGGAGGCGGGAATCTCTTTTTCACAGGCAGTGGGGGGGGGGGCATTCATAAAGGCTGAATTGCTTCCCAGTTGCCTGATAACTGCAAATGTATCAAAGAACTAAGTCTTTCCTCCTTTTTCTTCCCCTGTGGCCTCTGTCCTTTTTGCCTGTTTCTTGTTAAATGCATGGACTGAATTGTTGGAGAGTTGCTCCTTGCACTGCTTTTTCAACATCCAAGGATAATCTGTATTGGACCTAGCAAAAGTCTGTGGTTCAGTAACATAAGGCATTCATTTTAAAATGCCCCAAGTGCTGGGAAGGAGCCAATTTTTAATTTTCTTTCTTCTACAAGTTCACTGAAATTTCATGGGATGTAGCCTTTCCTGGGAAGCTTCGGTTATTTGCAGTTCTTTCAAAAAGGAAAGAAATTGCAGGGGCTGTGGTGCGCTTGATTTGTGGGAGACCTGAACTTTGGCAGCTCTGGGCAATGTGTGGCTGACTCCCCATAGAATGCCCCACTCTCTTTTCCATAGGATCACACGTGTGTGCTCAACAGCATTGTCGGCTGGGACAGCACCATTGGACGCTGGGCTCGTGTAGAGGGTACCCCCAGTGATCCCAATCCAAATGATCCCTATGCCAAGATCAACAGCGAGACACTCTTCCGAGATGGCCGTCTGACTCCATCTATCACTATTCTGGGTAAGTTTTGTATCCTGTTTCTCCCTTCCCCAATAAACAGTTGGGACCTTCCTGCCTTTTTAAGCAGGAGTCCCTTGTGGGATTACAGCTCCTCCCCAGCCTGCTTTCTGAGCTAATCCTTTTGAAACCTCTCCCCCCACCCCACCCCACCCCACCCCACCCCACCCCGCCAACAGGATGCAATGTGACCATTCCCGCTGAAGTGGTCATCCTGAACTCCATCGTGCTTCCTCACAAGGAACTCAGTCGTAGCTTCAAGAATCAGATCATTCTTTAATGAGCCATGACTTCACCACTGGTGACTTCCAGACAGAAAGTTCAAGAGTGTCATAATAATGTAATTTGTGACCATCAGACTTAAACTCTCAAGCCTCATTCAATCTGGGTAGGCCAAGATCTACGGCTTTGGTGTCATCTGCAATGTTCTTCTGGGCTTTTTCAGGGAATGGGAATATGAATATGAGCCTCTTTCTAGGCTGGAAGAAGTTGACTTGCCCCCTCTCCCCGTGACTTGATTGCCAGTAAACCTCTCCAAGGAAGAGGCCTGCCTGAACTTTACCTCACTAAAGGCCATTGACACAGAAAGGTGTGTAGCTGAGAGGACGCATCTCTGCAGGCTTCTGTGGCTCCCAGATGCCTTTGTTCATCCTCCAGTTAAATCCCATCAGTCCCAAGAGCTCCATTCCTCATGCCACCTATGAAACAGAGTTAGGGGCAACTTCAGATCAAGTACTTCAGATCAAGTACTGCAGCTCACATGGCAGAAAGACCTGTAATTCTCCCTTCCCTTCCATGTAGTGTCCCCTTCCCCCCCTCCGCCCCCCCCAGCCTTGTGAACTTGTGCACTAAAGAAATTGCCAGATGCCAGACCTCTGTCTGCCTCTGGTTGTTTACAAGGTGGAGGAACTGATTTGTTTCCCTGTTCTAATACAATTTGAAACTTTGAAATGAATGAGAAAGTGGTGGTAAGAAATCACCAATAATAAACATATATTGTGGAAAGCTTTGGGTGGTATTACCTCCATCCCAGTGAATGGAATGGCTTCCCATAGGGCCTGGAACAAGAGCTGCTACTATTCAGAGGCTTTTGGGAAAGGAAACAGATAGGGACTCCCAACACAGAACCACATTGCAGTTAGATTCATTTGGTGCCCGACTTTCATTCGTGGCCCTGGAGAAAGAAATCCTTACCCATCAGTTTTACCTTTCCATAAAAGAACTGAGGCTGCAAATGCAATGCATCTAGCTGTCTTCTTTTTCAATTATTATTTGGAGAAAAATATCCTTTGAAAAACATAGATGGTGGGGAGAAATATATCTCTCTTTCCTCCCCACCCTGTGTTATCCATGTTGTAAGCAGTTTCTGCTATCTGGAGCCCATGATGGAGTCGAGTCCATGTTGTAAGCAGAAAAGTTAAAACAACCACGCCTAGAAAAACCCTGTTTTTGCAAGGATTCTCCATGTTATCATCTCGGTGCTAGCAGTGAGAATATGAATGAATGGTCACCCTGGTTTAACTCTCATCATGTTCAAAGTCATGGCTGATGGGGGAGCTTAGTTTAACTCTGTACCTTCAGGGCTTTCTGGGTTAAATCTAACCAAATGTTGACTGGCTTTTTTGAGTCCCTGTAATAAGCTAATTGAAGCCCCCTGACCAGCCCAAATGTTCTGAGGTGGCATTTTTCAAAGTGATGTTTTGCAGCAAACTACAGAATCCTGGGTCCCAAACAGCTGAAATCAATACCTGTCCCTTGATCAGGTTTGTGCTGATCCATCTCTGCTGGTTTTTCTTCGAGTCCCACTAGGGAGCCCCTGGCGTGATCATTGGATACCCATTTATCAAAAGAGGATTTATCTTTCTCCTGCTATTGGAAGCATGATTTTCTTTGTAGTTGGTTAATGGCAAAGGGAACCCGATAATGGTAAATTGGCAAGTTTAGCTAATTGCTTCCTGTAATCTTTCATTGCTCCCCTCCCCCAATCTGCAGTACCCTCTGATATCATTTGGGCTCTGAAGCTGAGCAAGGTCGTGTCTGGTTAGTCCTGGAAAGTGCCTGGGAAGCCTAGACTGGGATGTCAAAAAACATCCCATAGGAAATGCAGTTTCTGCTATCTGGAGCCCATGATGGAGTCGGGCTCAATTCAAATGAGGTTCCTATTTGCCTTCTATTTGCCTCTGAGGCCTCAGAGCTTAAGTAATGACTAGAAATAGAATAGGCCGATATGGCAAATGAGCCTAGCAATCCTTGGGAAGGGTTTGATGCCTGCAGCATTAGTCACACATTATCAATGTGTTATTCTCGAGGATGCTTTGTTGCAAAGCCAGTTGTTAGAAGGGGAGATAGTGGTGAAGGATGCTTTTTTTTTTTTTTTACAAGAGCTGCATCAGAGTTGTAAATATAATCAGCGCTTTCTGATTCTGCTCATGTTATTTAATTCTGTTTAAGAAAGCAGAAATCCTGCCACTCTCTTATGTGATAATAATCCAACTTAATTGGATTCACCTCTAAATAGATTGTATCGTTTGAGTAGCAATATCTCCAAACTTTCTCTAAGAAAATAGAAGGTTCATAGATGGATTTGTACTAGATGGAAAAATTGGAGAAGGAATGATGCAAAGACCTGTGGCTTATAATTCATTGAGGGTTTGTTTTTTGTTTACTTTCTACAAAGAGGTTACAACTTGCTTCACTGGAAATCACACTGAAGCTAGTAAGACTTCTGAATATGTTTGCAGACCTTTTCTGGCTGCCCTGGCTTTTACTTCTGAGTAGACATGCAGAGGACATGGAAATGCAAATAATGCTATTGATTGTTTCTGGATGCATTCATACACATGACACCTACATACTTAGCTACTTTAACTTTGGCCTTATCAAAATAGAATGTGACCCTCAAAACATTTTTTTTAATTATTTTATTAAGGATATTTTAATTACAATAGTAAAAAAAATAATACAAACTAAAAAGGAAAAGAAAAAAATAGAATAAAAGGTGCAAGAAGGCAAAAAAAATATTAAATGTTAAAAAACCCTTAAGTGATTTCCCATTTTAATCATGACAAGTATAAACAATTTCATTATTTCTTCACCTCCTCTTAATTAGCAGATACAAAATACCTCATTCCATAACTCTTAATTATAGGTAAATCCAATAAGTAACATCTCCAATCTGGGTATTAGCAAAAAATCCAAACTGCCCTAAAGTGATAACATTAATTAGCAGATATAATTCTCACCATATCTCAAATCTTAACAGCAGATGCACATTTAGAAGGCATAAGTGGTCTCAGTATCCTACTATGAAGAAAAGATTGATACTTAAGATAGCAAGAGGGACAAATTCTCCTTTAAGAAGAACAAGCTCACAGAAATTTATTTTAAGTAAAATGACCATTCAATACAAAGCAATTTAAATACTATCAGATTACATAAAATGACTACAGTATAGGGCAGTGTTTCTCAACCTTGACAATTTTAAGACATGTGGACTTCAACTTCAACAGTTGAAGTCCACATGCCTTAAAATTGTCAAGGTTGAGAAACACTGGTATAGGGGAAAAGGCCTAAGCGCTATGTCAATTGTAAGCAAATTCAATACACAACATTTTTCCAGTCCAAATGTCAGCAAATTCCCCCCAAAAAACCCCACCCCAAATAACATGTCCCATTTTAACCCTGATCAAATAAACCAAGTTTGTGTTCCTTCCATTTGCGTAAAATAATCTTACTCTTTAGTCCATTTAGATTATTGATCCTTGTCTCTATTTTTTTTCAAGATGTTAACAAGCCTCTTTTATAGGTCTAGCAAGAATTTTTTTTCCAATTGCTCTTGGGGATTGGCATGTTTATTTCCTATTAATTTTTAAAGCCTCATCCAATTTTTTTTGTATGTGTAATGACAAATTGTTGTCCATGTTGCTTTCAGATAAATATTGCTGTAAATCTTTTTCTGTAACAAATTCTTCTGGGAACAAACAGTTCCTAAGAACACACAACACAGCTGACATTATTGATTAAAGGTCCTGACGCAATTCCTCAAAAATGTCTCCGAACTTGTCACCTTGTTATGTCTCCAATATCAAAACTAATTTTTTCTCTCCCATAAAAGTGCATTTATTTTTTAAAAATTAATTTTGAAATCTTAATATTCAAAATCAAATATTCTAATTTTGTTCTGAGCTTTTAGTCCGCTTAAAACGTTCTATAGCAAAAAAACCTATCTTGATTTTTGTTGTTTATTTTAAATTCTTAAAGCTTATGAAGATAGTTTCGCTTTCTTATATTAAGAATTGAAGGCACTCGGTGTTTCAGCCTTGTCATTTTGAAAGTGTCCAACTTATTTAGAGAATTAATAGCCAATGTCCAAAAGTGATTAGCGAAGGAAGCGCAAGCTTGGTGTCCTCTGAAAGGCTCTGATTGTGGATGGAGCAAATGTGACAAATTCCCTTGTGCTCCTGGTTTTCCCATGCTCCAGAAACCCCTACTGTGTAGGCTCCATATGAGAAGCAACCATATGAAGTGCAGCTTGGGAGATCTTGAGTCCGTTCTTTGACCAGAGATGGTTAAAGGAGTTGATCTACCCATCGGCCCCTCTTTTCAGCCACAATCATCAGCTCCACTTCATACACAGAGCTGCCTTCGGCCTGCCATTCGCCCTCAGAAATCCCATCCTCAAAACGTTAACTGGGAACCAGTTTCTGAATGATTCCTGTCACTAATAGCCATCTTGAACATAACATGCAAGCCTACCTCATCCACATTCTGATCATTAGAATTGTTCGCAGGCCATTCAGTATAATAACTAAATATATAAGAAGGAACAATACGAATGCCTAAATTTAATCAGCAGTAATGAAGTCGACAGACATCGGGGAGAGCCAGCTTCAGGTTGCATAGAAATCACTGGGTGAATTTGGGTCAGTCGCACTCTCAGCCCAACCTACCTTGCAGGGTAATTGTTAGGGAGTGTAGTTGTTGGCAGGAGAAAGTGTAGGAAGGGTGCTCCAAACTCTTGAACAAATGATAACATTATGGGTATCTTGGTTGAGGCCGCCTCCCCCTTTATTTCTGATAGAGGCATTTTGACAGAAATGACTAATGCAGCTGTTGACCTACTTGCACCCATTGCCCAGACAGAGCCTTTGGGTCCTTGGTTGTGAGTTTGGCCTTTGACCCTCCCCGAGCCCCATCTGATCCTTTTCCTATCATCTCATGAGTGCCCACCCCTGCCCTATTCGACAGCTGGCCTGCTTTAATCCTTGGCCACTACTGCCCTGCTGATGGAATTATGAATTTTATCTTCCCTAAAATGCAGGCTTCTATAAAATGCTGGACTGTGAATCTGGAGGGGAGGGGGATTATAAAGTACTTAACACACTGCTAAGGCTCAGGGTGGGGAGGAATTAAATAAAATGCCGGGGATTGAGCTGGGGTGGGCAAGTCTTTCTCTGCTCTGAGCTCTGGCCATGTGGCAAATGGCTTGTTTGCCCACCAGGCTCTCTGGGTGCTTCTGATAATCAGGCCAAGCCTTATCTAGGTAGGCCAACCCTGGAGGGAATAGCAATTATTTTTATAAACTAATATAAACTGATTTCCAGGTGCAAAATCTAGCAAGTGAGGAAAGAGCGGGGTTGAAATGAGGTGAACGTGGCTCAGAACTTTGCTGAACGCTTGAGAGAATGTCAGTGAATACATGAGCAAAGATGTGTATAATTAGACTTTTCATAAAGCAGGCTATAAAGTCCACCATCAGAGGCCCCTGTATCAGGTTAAGTCGTTCTGGTATAAGCGGAGACATCCTTTTGTGGATAAGCAAGTGGCTGAATTATAGGAAATAGAAGGCAGGCATAAATGGTCAATTTGCACAGCAGAGAGAGATAAACCGTAGGGAGCCTCAGAGATCTATAATGGGACCTGCACTTTTTTAACACATTCATTAATGACTTGGAAAAGGGATTGAACAGGGATGTAGCAAAATTTGCAGATGATAAATTATTCAACATAGTTAAATCTAAAGCAGATTGTAAGGAGTTCCATGGGGATCTTATAACAGTGGGAGAGTGCATAATGAAATGCAGAGTTGATAAATTCTGCACAGTGCATGGGGGCGGGTGGTGGGGAGGAGGGAATAGCTTCAGCTACTGTGTTTAGAATTGGCCATGTCCATTAATAAAAAGAAAAGCAGCACTCTGGTCCCAGGCATATTTACAGAGAGTTAAGTCCATGGCTCATTCCAGAGTCCATCAAGATGGGGCAATTTGCCAGCATCTTGAAAAAAAGAACCAACCAGCAAGGGCATTTGCAAAGAAGCTGGGCGAAATAAAAATAAACGAACAATAATAGTCTTCAAATAAAACCAACAGCTTTGTCTTTGCTTTCTGTGAAAACAAAACCTAGAAAGAGGGTAGAGGAATAAGGGAAGGAAAGTTGCCAACAACTGTATTTTCCTCCACTCACTTCTTTCCACTGTGGGGGAGAAGGGGGCAGTTTCTGAAATGGATACGAGTTTTACACACAGAAACACAGACAGGTAGACACACACACACACACACACACACACACACACACACACCATTGTATGTAAAAGTTTATGTAAACCTTATTGATTTGTATATTCCACTGACTCCCTGAGTGAACAGAAGCTCACACAACTTTTCCACTGAGCAAAATTAATATCTATCTGTAAATTTGAATGCATAGTTGATGGTTTTTGTGCATTTAATGGTGAAAAAAAACCCCAGTGAATACAGCAGGTACAGAAGTTGCGACACTTCGACGGTCACCACTTTCCTTTTGCAGAAACAACAATAATTTCCGAATGATTTGTATTTCTAGGCGAGAGTCATTCTAGTCTTGCTCTGGGTTTTTTTTTCCAACTCTTCCTTGCAGAACTTGCCTAGCTCAGAAATATTCTTAGGCCCTATGGGGATTCTCAGTTATCATCAGTCAGAACTGAAGAAGTTTCTTGGAAGTGAAACATCTTCAAGGAAAAGCAAAATCCAGCTGCCTTTTGAAAAAGCACCTTTGGGATTCTTAGTTCCTCTTGCATGCCCTTATCTTTCTTGTACTTCATGGTTGATTTGGAGGTACAGTGTAAATACTTGTCTTGCTGAAACATCCAGCCTCTTTGCTGCTTCAGTTTCTTCACTGACTTTAGGACAATAGATTGAAGACTGAGAAAAACATCTACCAGAATTGCCCCCAAACTGATTGTATCAGCAAAAACAGAACTCATACATCACAGGAACAACCTGCTAAAAAGCTAGCAGTGGGGTGGTCGTCCACCAGTTGTTGCTTCTCCCACAGTGATCTGCATGGAAAAATTTTCAGAAGGAAACCCTTTCTCCAACCTCAACAGTCATTGTCTAAATTTGCAGGAAAAAACCTTGGTAAGGCTGAAACATTTTGAAATAAAAACACTTTAAAATGTTAAGACAAAATTTGAATTCTTTGGCCACAACCGCATAAAGGTCTTGGCATTTGCCCTCCCCTTTTATAACCAACCATTATAAAGAAAGTTGTTAGGGGGGGGGGAATAATGTTGATTTGTAATGGGATAGGGGAATTGTAGGAATTTAGGATAGGATCAGGGGTAACAATGCATGATTTTGAATAGAGGATTATTACTCCAAGCAGGATTTCTTCTTCCTTTCCTTGGATTTCCCCTTGTGTATAACACATAATATCTCTCTCTCTCTCTCCCTCTCCCCCTCCCTCCCTCCCCCTCCCCTGCCTCTGTCTCCGTCCCTCTCCCTCTCCTCCCTGTCTCTGTCTCCATCTCTCTCCCTCTCTCTGTCCCTCTCCCCCTCCCTCTTTCCCTCCCCCTCCCCGTCTCCATCTCCCTCTCCCTCCCTCTCCTTCTCCCCCTCTCTCTGTCTCCATCTCCCTCTCTCCCTCTCCCTCTCTTTCTCTCTGTCTCTCTCTCTCTCCCTCCCTCCCTCCACCCTCTCCTGTGTAAACATAACTCAAGAAAATCACATTAGGTTGCAAGAAACCATCAGTCCAGTTCTGAGTCAGTGTCTGCCTCCTGACATTGTCTCTGTACTGGGAACTGAATGGCATAACATGACATATTGCTGCATAATTGAACTACCTTGCTATGTCCAAGAGCTGTAGGAAAAAGCAAGGATGGGAAACTTTTCCAGTATTGTGCATCTGTTAGGGAAAACTGCAGTCTCAAATTTCAACATTTCGAGAAGCTGCTAAAGACACTGGAGCTCTAATACATATGAAGGAGCTAATTTATCTTTCTCAATAAAAACAGTGCAGAAGAGAACTGTTTCATCAATTTAATCTGTGGGTGAATCTCATGTCACTGCCAACCATATGGAAGGTTTATATTCTGGCCTTATAGTGTCATCTTCTGGAGTGTGAGGAAGGAAGGAAGGAAGGAGGGAAGGAAAGAAGGAAGGAAGGAAGGACCACTTTTTCTGAACTACAACAAAAAAGTAGAGTGAAAGAGGTAAATTTGTATAACTTTCACCTACTTTCTATAGCTTCTTTTTCTTTTATCAGATGATGCTAGGCAAGGAATCCTAAAACTGGAAAGTTGGATATGTTTTAAAGACTATCATGTCAGATTAACTGATACTTATTGAAAAGCAAATAAAGTAGGGAATTCTGAAAAATTAAATACAGGAAAGTGCTTGGGAGAGCATTATAACTGAATGGGCAAAAATGCTTTCCTCTGACAAGTTGGTTGATGTTCCTTCTGGGATTTTTGGTGGGCAATTCATTCCTCAGAAGAGATATCCCCCCCCCCCCCAAAAAAAGTAACATTCCCTTTCAGAAGCAAAGGGATTTCACTGGCTCATATGCATTGCTTCACAAGAAACCTCTTCGTTGAAACGAAGCAGCCCTTCAGTTCTGTGAAGCATTCACATGCTCACCTATATGATCATAAGGATAATTTTTTAAAAATCCTGTTACAATGTTTTCTTTCTTTTTATTGTACAAAGGAAGGCAATTCATTAAGAAAAATATTGTTAATTCAATAAATAAATATGACCAAATTTTGAACAAGACTTTTCAAGGTAAGACTTTTCAA